TCTCTTTTTTTTGCCTACTCTGTCTGTCACCTTTGTGAGTAATTAATTCGAAGTATTTCAGATTTTAGTCTCTTTTCTTTAATTATTGGTGTTGATTTTAATTTCTCCCAGAAGAAGCTATCGGCATTGTGAGCCAGCCTGTGGCGGTTACCGGCGCCGCCACCGCCGCTACAGCCGCAAAGGCAGCAACTTCAGCTGCCGATCAAGAAACAGGGGAAAGGAGACCAAGATACAGAGGAGTCCGGCAGAGGCCATGGGGAAAATGGGCGGCGGAAATAAGGGACCCACAAAAAGCTGCCAGGGTTTGGCTGGGGACGTTTGAGACGGCGGAGGCCGCCGCCAGAGCATACGACGAAGCCGCCCTGAGGTTTAGAGGGAACAGGGCCAAGCTCAACTTCCCTGAAAACGCCCGGCTAATGCGGCCACCGCAGCAGCCGTCTCCCGCCATTCCCTCCGCCTCCCGCGCCCAATTTCCCGCCATTAATTTAGTCCAAGGTCAGCAGCAGATTCAAGGCATTGCCGGCGACTACTGGGCGTACTCGCAGCTCCTTCAGAACACCGGCGGTGATCTTCGCGGTCACCCGCCGGCGAGCTTGATCGAGCAAATGTACTATGCTTCTTCAATGGCGGCTTTCAATTCCCAGGCATTGCCCTCTTCATCTTCCTCCGCCACCTCTTCTCCTCGACGTCCGATGTACTTCTCCGGCGGCCAACATTCAACTGAATCTGGGTCATCCCAGCCATCGTCGACTCAGATGCCGGCGACGAGTTCCGACAATTTACAGCCACCGTCGTTCTGGACTAGTTCTGCTCAATACCCCCCATCCTCTAGTTGATTTGAGATTTCTGCATAGGACTCATCTTTTCCCTTTAATTTGATGCACAAAAACAATACTCTTCAGTTTTTACTTTTTAGGGAGAAAGAATTACAGGAAAAATGATCGAAAACCAATTAGTTTGGTAACAGTTAAAATTTTTATTTTGTTTAACATAATTTCTACAGATATGGTACATTCATGCATTGAAATTCATCTAGTTTTGCTTTCTATACATTTATTTATTTGCAGAATTAGGGAAATTTTATGAAATATTTCACACCTATAATAATAATCTCATAGTATCCTTTATTCGGTATTATGGTGTCAATAATGTTAGGTTGGAAGTTCTCGAGGTTAACTCGATTCAAAGATAATTCACCATCTCATACTCGAATTGACTCAAATCCAAAATAAAGTCAAGTCATTTTATACCTAAACCCGATTCAATTGAAAAGTGGTTTGACTAGTGGAATAATTTGGAGGTGATAGACCCCTATAACTACCTCCTTGGGGACTATTTATAGGAGTAAATGTGGATTTGAGTTCCTAGTCATGGGCTTAGGAGACTCATCACAATAATCATGATTTCTTTGGGCGGAATAGGAACACTAATGGGTTGGGTACAATACTTAAATAAAAAGATAAGAAAATACATTCTGCCAGGGGGAGACCCTAGCGGATGCGGGCCTGCTGGTCGACGTGAACCACCTGGCTGATGCGATCCATGGCCGATGCAGTCTACTTGGCCTCCAGGCAGTATTCTGGGCTATTTCGGTTTTGGACGTTATGGGCCCCAAAGGCCGAAGGGTGCTACGTGGATCGGTGGATGTCCCTCTGATGTCTTTGACCTTCTGAGTATGTGGGACATGAGGTCTAAGCCCATATACTTTATGAAGCGGGTTGATGGAACATGTTTGGTAATTTAGTCGTTTCGTCATAAATATCAGTATAAACGTCATTTTTAAAAAACGCTAACTTAAAACTCTCTTATTTCAATATTTTCATTTCAACGATTTCGTCCATGATCGAATAGCTATTTACCAAATGACATTTTTAATTATTGAAAACGTTAAAAGTAGTCAAACTGTCATTTTTTGTAGAACATCATTTTCCAAACACGCTCAATATTTTGCAAGTGTTATTCGAGTTTTAGACACTTTTAGACCGTGTTCAAACAGAACTAATCAAAATTAGTCGGACACAGTTTTAAATAAAAGTGTAAACAGTCCTAATTTCTAAGCAAGAACTGGGGAGAAGTTTAAAACATTGATGTATCTTTGAAAGACTAATGAAGAATACACCTATGCATGTGCTTAAACATGATAAAAAATAAAACTATTTGTCTAAAATATACGATAGTATCTACTTTTAGAATAGGAATTTGGGATAAGCTTGAATACAACCTGAAAGCAAAACTTATAAACTTTATTCTTGTGGAAGTAAACTTAGGGTGTGTTTGCGTTTGCTTGCACTTTTCAAAAGTGATTTATTTAAGTGATTGTTGGAAAAGTGATTTATAGTAAAAGTAGATAGTGTTTGTAAATAAAAGTGATTTTAATTGTAAGGTAAAAGTTGAAGTGTTTGATAAAAAAGTGATTATTGATATGAATTTCTTTTAAAGTACTAAAAAGCCCTTACAATAATTGAATATTACGGAGTATGTATGTATTGATAAAGAGCCAATTCAGCTGCAGCTATGATATCGTGGCGACAACCTTTTCGGAATTTCCGGCAGCAAGTGAGATTCAAGCTTGGCCTCCGATGGCGACATAAGATTTTTCAGCGGTGGGGAGATGGAGATCTGAGAGCTTCGTTGTTCTCCTATTGATTCCATTTCAAATGCTATGGGATTGAAAAAAAATACGCATATATATATTTACATTTATCTATATATGTGTATATACCAGAAGTTGTTAAGATCCGGGGTTCCATCCTAAAAGGTCAACCCTGATAGGAGGAGTAACCTGGATCTTAATATAGTGTTTAGTCATTCCAAAGATGTCCGGTGTGGGACATTTAACACCCCTCCTCACGACCAGACACTTCGTCTGGATCGTGTCATCATTCGTATTTTTTTCATCGGTCCGTTTTTCTTCATAATTGTCATTTTTTTTATAATCGTGTCATCACGATTCATAAGGGGCTCCCACACCATGGATCGATTTGGCTCTGATACCATGTTAAGAGAAGTCCAGAAGGATGAGGCATGGCAGGTGAGGTTTGGGAAATGAAGAAGCTGACAGGGGCACAGGGCAGAGAGGCAGGTTGGAGTTCGGAGGAATGAAGGGAGGGTAATTTGGGTTTAATAAAAATATTTATTCTAATAAATATCCATAAAGTTTCAAATATTTACCAAAATACTAAGAAGCTATTAAAAGCATGTATATGGTAGCTTCAGCTTTTAGACCAAAAGCACTTCCAAATAAGCAGAATTTCATCTTTGCAAACACACTTTGTAGCTTTTTTCAATTGAAAAGCTGATAAGTGCTTTAAAAAAGCAATGGAAAACACTGCCTTAATACTTTTGTGGTAATCTTATACGGAATAATAAAGAACATTTTCATATCGTTTGAAATTCATTGTATGCACATTTTAGCATCATCGACGAGAAGGTAAAATGTTGATTTGAAACAAAACTCAACGTTTATTTATCAAGTACAACTCGATCTATGTCGAACTCGAAGTCATCTGGTTAGCCGCTGATTTGCATATTATTAAGAATATACTTCCTCCGTTCTTTTTTAGTTGCAACAGTCAACTTTGCACATTTGTCAACGCACGTCTTTGACCGTCAATATCTCTTATTCTCTATTAGTAAAAAAATTTAAAAATAGATTTTGAAAATTTGTAATGAAACAAATTGAACAATATTTTTTTTTAAAATAATTCGTATAAGTTAATAAATAAAATGTAGTCAAAGTAGAGCATGTGAATAGTGTAAAATTCAACATGTTGTAACTAAAAAAGAACAAAGGATAGTAAAATTAATCAATAAAAATAGTTCATGTTTATTTAGATGTGGTAAAACTTAAAAGTCCTTCTACGTATGATTTTGCAAATCTTTTTAAATATGAAAAATATTTAAAATAAACAACAAATAAAATAATGCAGAAAAGATTAGTGGTAATCATGTTGATTAGTGGGCTACACAGGCCTACTCAAATTTGACAAGACGATCTTTATCATCTATTTTCAGGTAAACATGTCGAGTCACGGACCGGCCAACTTTATTTTTATAATATAGTTGTAATCGGTGTCCAATATTTTTTATATCAGAAGAGCACATTAGCCCGGCCAAACTGCGATTGTTACGTATGAATTGGGTGTGATTCAGTTTTTGGCATTTTTGTGTTTGCGAAGTTATTTATTTTTTGAAGATTCTATAGAAAGTCTCGATAATTAAAGTTAGCCGGTTTTCGAAGTTATATTAAAAGAATAAATATTGAAGTGTTTGAAAAAAAAATTGTTTCGTTTAGAGAAAGTAGGCATGGACCCGGTCTGACATTACTTTGGGAATTGGAACGGAATCGGGTTCATTTAGACTTTAGAGAAGTTTCGGGCTTGGGACCAACTATGATTTTTGGGACCGAACCAGGCAATTTCGTCCAGGTTCTGATCCCGACCCGAATTTGTTTTAGCCTTCAGGAAAGCATATCCAGGACTGGACCGGTCGTGTGCCCGAAACCGGCCCAGACTCAAGGAAAAAGCGATTCAGACCCGAGCCCGAGTAATTTTTTTTTTTAGCTGAGGAGTTGGGGAGGAGGAGATGGAGGACCGGTTGAGGAGGATTCTTTAAGTTTAGTAGCAAGATGGATGAAGAGAACGTGTCCGACGCTGGAGGTAAAACTAATGAGATGGGAGATCCAAAATATGTGAATGTGGCACATCAAAATGGATCATTTCACTCGAAAATTTAGTACATTCAAGTGGTGATTATCAGTCAACTGGAGGCAGACTCGACGTTGGTGGAAGATCAATAATGATCAAGGGATTATGACACCTAGTGACCTAGTGATGTGGTATCAACTACTCCGTATTATTTTAGAATTTAGATCAAGTTAGCTTTTCAGTTTGAGCCTTCTTGGATGAGTGTATATTTATCGTAAATGTTTCCTGGCCAGAAATAATGAGGCTATCATAGCCAACCTAATGTTCAAAGCATGGTTAACGATATGATTTTCTCTTTATAGGACGTGTCAAAGCCATAAATGTGCTTCATTATGACAATGGCGACGATGATAATAATGATTAGTGATAATGATGATAACGATGACGACAACCACAACAGTAACAATCGCCATATAACTTTGTTACACAGCACATCTCGACTCGAAAAAGACCTTTAATAAACACAGCAAGTGATCATATATTTCTTCCCCAGTCCTGTGTGTTCTCAATATTATCATATGGTTCTACAAAACTTTGTAAAGTGAGTGTTGAAAAGCTATCCATCCTACTTGAGGGGTCTTGAGTGTTTATATAAACATGATATCCTCCTTTGACAATTGCATCTTGCCATTGTCCCGTCTCTGGTTAATGGGTCTCTGGTCTGGTTGCCCCTTCTGTAAACAAATAAATATCCAGTTTGATATGAAGTAGCATAAGCATTTTATTTTAAACTTAATATAAATCACTTGAAATTTCAAAATGCTTATTTAACTTTTTCGGAAGGAGCATTTGGTAACACCCAATTCTACCAAACAAGCCAAGAGCTACTAAGGGCCTGTTTGGTGGGGGTATTTGGCTGAAATAAATGAATATGTTGAATTTCCTTACAGGAAAAGTGTTTGGTAAAAGCTATTTCAACCAAATAGATATGCCAAAAGTATTTATTGTGGTTATTCTGAATAAGGAGAATAAACCCTTTAATGCAACCAAACAAGAACTTTTTCTTCTGCTGATAATCAAAATAGTCCAATCAGACTACCAAACAGATCCTTAAGGATGCCACTTGCCTTCTTCAAGACAAATGAAAGATATAAATACGCTGCATCCCATTCATCTGGTGAGAGGGTACCTTTATCAAGCCAATGCAGGTTGAAATATTATTAAATGTAAATGTCATAAGTAAATAAAAGAGGAGAAATAATTAGATATTTGAAATTCTCCAAAAAAAAAAACTCAATTGAATAGGAATTTCTCATGGAGGCTTACTTTGGTCTTGGTTTCCATCACCCAATGCACCGAGCCTTCGCATGAGCTCGACGAACTCCGGCTTCTTCATATATTCATTAATAAATGCATGCGAATTTTTTGCAAATACCAACTCCAAATCGTACTGCATTTCCACATTATTCTTGAGTCAATCTTTAATGAAATAATTATTAAAAAAGGGAATAGAACGATGATACTCTTTCATTTTAACCTCTTCAGCCATTTCCTTGAAAAGGTGGAAAGGTACAATCCATTCAGGACAATCAACCGCGTCCTGCAAAACAAAACTTCTAATATGTTATGTGTGATTCTGTGCTTTGATTTTTTTTAACCAGAGAAAGTAAAATGATTAATAGTCAAGAAACTTCACTATGCATTAAGAAAGGGATTTATTAGTTCATGTTGTCACTTGATACAAACAAAATTTTGCTTCTATCTGATGTCGTATAAGGCAGCCATCATCTTCATTGTTCTTCGTATTTCAAAGTTTTGATATATATAAAAGTTAAGAACTTCGCTTAGATTTTATTTCTACCTTTTTGTATTAAAAGGAAGCAATATGTACGGTTATTGTATTTAAAAAATTTGGTTGTCTTGAGTAGTTGAGTGGGAACTAAAAATGAACTATATAAAAAGTTCCATATTGAGGAGATATACACATCATAAATGAATTAAGCAGCAATAAAATAATGAAAAAACAGACACGGGGCATAAAACCCATAATAACAGACCTGCAAGTGGAACTTGTATTTGATGCCAAAAGGATCAGAAGATCCGAATTTCTGTATGGCAAAAGATCAAATAAGGCAGCGGCAACTCTAATAGTTCTTAAACATGTGAATGAAGCTCATACAAATACCACTTGACAAGTTACAATAGATCCTACCTTTTCTGAGTATTCTTCATTAAACTCTATAGAATACACGCTATTACCAAAACTTAGCCCTTGAGCTGCACAATTCGTGAAATGTAATACCAAACTGTGAAATGATATGCTATACCCATTATAAGAACTTGGCATTTCTGCTTTATGTAATAACATAAGATAAAGGGCAGACCGTAAGAACTTAAGACCTTGTCTAAGCTTTTTTATTATAACATTGGCATCTGGCATTGTTCCAATGAAGATTCCTCCAGGTCTAAGTAAAGCCGATACATTCGCCAATGCGCGCCGTGCACGTGCTTCAGTTGACCATGAGTAATGCATGGCAAACTACAAAATAGAAAGCTTTGTAAAGCAATCTAAAATTTCATTGGAGAAAGACACCACACACAAAAACTGTAAAAAAATGAAGAATATATAATAACAAAGCTTTAAGAGACTATGAGCTTGACTAACATCAGTTAAATATTACTCCCTGTGTCCCTAAATTATCTATAAATTTTCCTTTTCCTTCAATCTCAAAGTTATTGTTGATTTCTGATTTTTTTACCAAAAATATTGTGTGGTCCACAACATTTCTCTCTCTTCTGAATATATCTCAAGATTCTCAACCACACAATTTTTATTTTCTTTAATTGTGTGACCGGTCAAATTAGATTATGTTTTAGGGACAGAGAGGGTAAATAGTTAATAACAAGGATACAATTTAGCAAGTAGCATATAACTTAATGTTCAAATACTATTAAAAGGATTTATCAACATATTTAGAGATCTAATTGGTTATAGCTGTTGAACTGACAACACCAATATGCAATAGATTAACCAACCTGGCAGCTAATAAGGTCAAAAGGCATATCGTCTGCTAAAACTCTATCCAACCGAACCTGAAACCCATGAAATAGATAGACAGTGTGATATTATTTTTTCATTCCTGGGATGATTTCACATCCAACTATCATGGACACGTGTGATGTAAAAGCGAGTAAAAATCGGAGTTTGTGTTATTGCACCTCAAAACAATCTCCACAAATTAGTCTAGCTGGAAAAGAGAACTTTTTACGCCGTTGAAGATGATCTGCATCACCATTATAGCGCGTACGGCAATCCTCAATCTGCACATAATTGCTAGACGTATTATTAAGAGCAATGGAAGCATACTTGGATAAAAGATGAGAATAAATCTTATTTCAAGATTGTAATTGAAAGGAAAACTTGGACGGAAATGGAGTGATTTTGAGGAACAAACACAAGAGCCTAATCGGTAGGGGAGAATTTTATTGCTATTCCAAAAACACAAATTCAGCATGTAATTAAATGGATTACTCCACTTACTGAGCCTTCAGCAATGTCAATGCCGACATAATATGAAATCTTTGCTTTGTCCCACTTAATAAGATCGCCACCCTGATTAAAATTAAAATAAGAAAAATAAGACAACTACCTCAAGATAATAGAGAAGTATCATCTGCAAGAGAACTGAATATTAAAAAAAATCAGATATTTTTAAATGCTTTGTACAAAAATACCTTTCCACAAGCAAGATCGAGAACTACATCCCCTCTTTTGGTGTAAAGTTGAATTAAGACGCTTTTGATCTGGTTAAAACGTAATATTCAGAATTAATAAAACTAAAGAATCATTATAGCTGTTTCAGACATTAACTAACCTCACCAGCTAAAGGAAAGTGATATAAAATACTTACCCAGTTGTTAAGCTTCTTTAAATGGATAATAGGACTTGCTTCTCGCTCTTCGAGGGTCTGATTGGTCCTTGCACTATAATGATCAGCAACTTTCCTGGCGAATATTTTTGTACTCTCATCCTCCAAAAACTGAGAGTCGCCTAATCACAATAGAGATGCATTCAGAACTTTTATGATGGAATAAAGGAAAATGGCTCACCAAACTGTCTGCGTTTCTTTGTTATGAAGCAGTAGTCAGTCCATGCAATTTTGGACGCGATTTGTCATTATGGGTCATCTGGAAACAGTCTCTTTGTGCTTTAGTACAGGGGTAAGACTGCGTACATCTGACCCCCTTACCCCACCATAGGTGGGAGCCTTTGCGGCACTGGGGTAAATGATGATTGATTGAAACTCAGATTTTGGAAGATGGAAAGTTGGAGGGTTGCTATAATTTAAGACCAATTTACTAAAGTAGCATTGTAGCAAACTTTATGTCAAAGCCATATTTTCTAACTAGTGTATAACAGAACACACTGATCTTGCATTCTTGATCAATAAGATCCTCTTGAAGCTGAACTTCACCAGATTGAACACAGGCAATGTAGGAGGATTCTAAATGTATGACCACTTTATAATAATAAGACAAAATCATTGAACCAAAGATATACTTTTTACTTCCGAGGGTGCAAATTTTAGATCAAAACCATTTAGCAAGCGAAATACCAGAACTGTTCCAAATCATCATAAACGCTGAGCTCATGCAAGTAGTACTTTCCATAGCTCAAGTTCGAAAGTTAATATAGCAATTTCAAACCTCGAAATTTAATGAAAATCACCTGGTGCGTTGTATTTGAACTTAGATGAAGGTGGTCCAATCGAGCTAGATGATGGCGAACCCGAGAAACTGCGCTTCATGCTTCGGAATCTGGGTTAACTTGTACAGCTTGGGCCTTTTCTATTCTTCACGCCTAATCCCCCAACCTCAGAAGGCAGTTATCGTTTCCGGCAACGCATGAATAGCCGCCGCTGCGACCAAGTTCCGGCTAAAATCCTTATAAAATTGTCAATTTCCCTTTGACCTGTCTTCTCTATTTCCTTCGTCGCTGGCCGATCCTGCTGTCCTTGATTCCTGATAGCTTCCTCTTTTCGGATTTAGTTCATCAGACTTTCAGAACGGCGATTTTACTATAATCAAGGTGAACAATGTATCCCTAATAAACGGAATAAAATAATACATAGTAAATCAATGTGATACATAAAATAATAGAACTCCGTCATAACAGAGTACTGCGACATTCTCAGCTGCTGATTCGTAAACACATTCGAAATAGGGCTAAAATTGATAATAATATAACTGATTGATTCATTAATAGGCATAATTGAGCTAAAGAAGTTTAACGCAATCCTTCCATCACCCACATTCAAATCCAATCTTACAGTAGAAATAAAAGAAACGAAAAACCACACCAAAGAAAAAAATGTCACGAAAAAATAAAATAAAGTTAATAACGTAAAATTTTTGTCCTAGCCTCCCGAACAACACTAGCTCCCATATCCTTCGCCCTGGTCCTGACTGCAGCGGGTTGGGCGAGCTTACTGGTCGAAGCCTGCCCCTCCCCGGTTTCTGTTCCATCTGGTGCCATATTATCCTCCCCCGAACTTGTCCTTCTCTTGTGCATCCCAAATGCGTATTCTTTTTTGTTCTCCCGATGCCTCATTAGTTTCTATCTCCATCCTCTTCATATGTCAGAGGGAAATATTTATCTGAATGCCCTATCAAACTGCAGATAAAATAGAAATTGGGCAACTTTCTTACGATTTGTACCCTTTTCAAAGGCTTTTCCACATTTATACTCACCCTGGTTCTCATATAAGATTCCCACTTCTCACTATACTGCTTATCATCATATCTGATAAATTTTTCAATAAAGTTACCAACCCGCCTAACAGGGCCTAAATTCACTAAGCTGTAAGAAGCATTATGAGCTTGAACTCAAAACCCAACCTCATTTAAACTGATTTTATGTGGAATATCATCAAATTACGCTTAAATTGCCAAGGACCACCATCAAGCACACACGTTTCATATCAACAGGATGGTAAAAAGTAAAGAGATACCTTTTATCACCTACTTCTTTAATCAAAATTCCCTTCCCCGGCCTCCACGGAGATGTCATGAGTTCTTTGAAGGCCGAAAATTTGACCTTCCTATCTGTCAGCAAAACTCCCACAACCGGAAAACCCGGTCTATTCGATCTCATCTGCCAAAGTATCCTCAAATTCAGCTTCATCAAGATCAAGTTCTTCTTCCTCCGCGCCAATCGCCATCATTTTGTACTGATCCACGATGTTTTCCATACACCCTTGCTTCCCCGGATAGCTAATCGATTCGCCTGTCTGTATTCACTCCTCCGCTTGCTGTTTTGTCTCCTCAGCTTGCCCGTCCAAGAACGTCCATGAACCTGTCAATCCGAATCAGCCCAGTTTCCAGCCTCCTTCGACTCCCTCTCTCCAAATCCTATTCACAGCTAAAAGACAAATGGTCGGAAAATCCAAGCCCTGCTCCTCGGCTAGGCCGATAGCGGACGATCGAAGCTAGCGGTTGGTCTTGCGGCAAACCTAGAGAAAGAGACTTATTAAGGTTCTCAAAGGACTAATTGGGCTAATAATTTTTAAAAAATAATAATATATTTTTAATTGGGCTGGAATTTTCCTATCAAATAATTTAAAATATGGGTTGATCGAATTTGAATTGTTTTGAACTATTGTGATTTGATAGATCTATGTTCTATGTGTTCTATGTGTATTTTGATACAATGTTATGTGAATCAAGACATTAGAGAGGCGACCATCTCCCTACGAGAGTTAGGGGGTTTTCCTTCCGCATAATTTTTGTGCGGCATAGTTTATGTTTCAGATTTCTCTCTTTGGTTTTTTTAGTTGCAGGTTTTTGGATGTTCAATTTGATTGGTTCGTTGGTGTATAAAGTTTCACATCCATTTATTGGATTGCTGGTTTCTCCATTTGTTGACGTTGGTGCGGGCGAGCATCTTTTCTGGAGCAGGGGCGACCGCAGTGACACACTCGGAAAAGCAATATGACAATATGGATGTGAAGGATGATGAGAAAGAGCTAGCCTTTGACATGGTAGACAATGATGCGAACCAGACCGCTAGGTTGGCGGTCAAATGGATTTTGGTTGAGAGTTTGTATCAGTGATGGACGAGGCAGCTTTGGTCGGCTAGCTCCGATAGCTCTTCCTCTAGAACTTTCTTTGTACTAGCTAGTTTTCAATATTATTTTCTCTTTAGCAGTACTTGTTTTTATTTTAGTACGAGTAGGTTTTCTTTGGATGTTTAGATTTTTGGTATTCTTTTGATAGACATGGTTTTAGTTCCGGTCGTTTTAGACCTAAATTTGCCCGTTTGAGGTTTATTGAGTCAGGTTGCTTTGTATGAGGTGGCTGACTCTAAATCTACTCTTACGATTCACGATGGGATCTATGAATTCTTTCTGAAAGTTGTCTCGTATGGTTCTCAACTTTAATATAACGGCCTCTCTTTTATGATAAAAAAAATTATGTTAAGTAAAAAAAATTATTTCCTTTATTCTCAAAAATTTGGATATATATTTAAAATAGATGTCCAAGTTATGATATACTTTGGATTTAGTGCATCAAACCCCTTCGTGATATAGAAATTTAGCGCATTAGCAGTAGCACCATGTGATTTAAGAAATGTGCCATACCCCTCTGTGTTATCGGAGTAGTTATTAATGCGTAGAGCCCCTTTTTATAAATAAATTTACCAATTTAGAAATTTCTTTTCTTAATATTATTATTTAATATGCAAGTAGATTTGTCAAATCTCTAAAGTTATACAAATGGTTATTATTTTTCTTTTATTTGAGAATTAAATTTTTTCATTTGAGAATTAATTATTTTTCTATTATTAATTACGAGTATAACACAGGAGGGTTTAACACATTTTTTTAAATCACATGGGCTAATGTGCTACCTTTTTATTTCACCAAGGGTTTGGTGCATCAAACTCGTTATATTTCATCCGTTTTTTAAAAGATACACGCATACACCACACTTCATAAGGGGTGTTTGGATCTGATTCTTAACACTTCATAGTAGCAAAAGTTGAAGTGTTTGAGTGAAAGTGCAAAAGTACTTCTGATGCTCTAATTTACACCTAGAAACAGTTTTTTTTTTAAATTTGTGGAAGACTAGTTTCTGAAAATTGATTCTTATTCTGCTTGTGCTTTAAAAAAGAACCACAAGCAGAATCAGTTCCAAACGCCTCCAGGTCAAAATGAATCCTTCCAATAATATCAGTCATTGATCTCACTTACCCCCACACTTTGCTCATGCTAGAGACATAGGACCCACACTTTGGTCATGCTAGAGACATAGGATAATTACTTTGACGTTTCTCGTTTCTTAGGATGTTTTTACTCATATTATTATAAGTTCCAAACCAGACAAGAACAAATCAAATCAAACATAAATGTATCTTCAAATCAGATTAGATCACACTTAGAGGCACCATACTATACTTCAGCAATTATAAAATATACAAAGACCACACATTTACTTGACTAGACCATACTAGGCTGAAATATATCAAACAAAAAAACTAGTGTATTTTTTTTAGAATATTCTTCTAAACAGTTAGAAGAGATAAATTCACCGTAAGTGTCTTCTATTATTCAATCGTATAAATAGTCAAAATACATCGTATGCCGTTCTTAACTATACGCTAAGTATAATTCTATCTAATACAAATGCTATTCGGCTAAGTGTCTAGGTATAGTGTCGTGTAAATGTGTAATCTATAAAAACGGGAGGCTTTATCAAAGCCAAACTGTATGCATACGTATAGCTAGGAGATAATATTAACATGGTATTATCATTAATTAAATATCTTTATCAAAGCCATACTGTATGCATACGTATAGCTAGGAGATAATATTAACATGGTATTATCATTAATTAAATATGCTGGGAATGGAATCCTACGTAACACATATGTCATGCATGCACATGCATGCCATGCATGCGTAACTTAACACGCCCCCGCAGTTTCAACGGGAGGAAGCCGAATACTGAGACTGGAGCGGAAATCCTCGAATAAAATCTGGGGTAATCTTTTAGTGAAAATATCGGCGTATTGGTGTCGAGATGAAACATGAAGGGCCTTGATTTGACCGCATGCTACCTTTTCACGAACAAAATGGATTTCCATTTCAATATGTTTAGTGCATTGATGCTGGACGGGATTGCCGGACTGATAGACCGCACTAATGTTGTCACAATATACAACCGAAGCTTTATGTGGAGGGTGGTAAAGTTCAAGCAAAAGATTGCACAACCAACAGAGTTCAGCGTCCGCATTAGCAACCCCTCGGTATTCAGCTTCAGTACTTGAACGAGACAGAGTAGGTTGGCGTTTAGAGAACCATGAGAGTAAGTTGTCACCTAAGAACACACAGTAACCGGAGGTGGAGCGGCGAGTTTCGGGGCACCCACCCCAATCGGCATCAGTATATGCAACAAGATCATTAATGGGAGATGGGCGTAGATGGAGGCCGAGTGTTGAAGTGCCTTGAATATAACATAAAACACGTTTCAAAGCATGAAGGTGCGGTGCACGTGGGTCGTGCATGAAGAGACATAGTTGTACCGCGTAAGATATGCCGGGCCTAGTAAATGTGAGATATTGTAGCGCCCCCTCAAGGCTACGGTACATAGTAGGATCCTCCACCGGTGGGCCGGCCGACACACTCAACTTGGATGGGTGTCAACAGGTGTAGTAGTGGGATTAAATGTGAGCATTCCGGCCCATTGTAAAATTTCCGAGGCATATTTTGATTGGGAGAGAAACAAACCATGACGATGGCGTGTGACGGAGATGCCCAGAAAATACGTGAGAGGGCCTAGATCAGTCATGGCGAATTCTGAGGCTAGAGAAGCAATAACTTGCTGTAGGAAACTGGGAGAGGAAGCTGTGATGATGATATCATCAACGTACAGTAGTAGAAAAGCCGTGTTACTGCCTTCTTTAGTGATGAATAACGAGAGGTCGCATGTGCTGTGAGAAAAGCCCATGGTGGTTATATAAGTAGCAAACCGTTGGTACCAAGCCCGGGGGGCTTGTTTAAGGCCGTATAGACACTTGAGTAAACGACAAACATGTGATGGATGAGAATGGTTGCGGTAGCCCGGGGGTTGATGCATGTACACGGTTTCCTCAAGATGGCCGTGGAGGAAAGCATTCTTGACGTCAAGTTGGTGCAGCGGCCAATT